AAAGCGAAAGCTCGTGGCCTTTAAAAAAGTGAACGATTTTATAAATAATGGAAAATGCCGGGAAAACAAATGATGACAGAACGAGAAAAATTGCAGCATCCTGTCACCACTGACCCAATTTTTCCAAATCGCCCTGTATATGCATGAATAATGCACCAATAAAACGTCAATTGTCACGGCCGCCTTTATTACCTCAATTTTGAGAACTTTTTTTGGTGTCATGTGACTGCGGGGGTGGGGGTTATCTCCCCCGTTTATAACCCCCATGTCCTGTGGAAATGGTGCAAGTGTGCTGTGAGTCACACGGCGAGAGGAGGGAGAGAAATCGCGATATCGTGGTGATTGAAGAAAATCTGACAGTGTATCGCGACGCTCGTTTGTTTTCGATTTCGCTGCCAACTATGTGAGACGCACGCCGGCTGTTGTTATTTTACGTATTTTTGTTTCCTATTGCGACTGTGATATTTTTCGTTATGGTTTAGAGGGAAAAAGGGGTTTTGGGCACCGAAATGGGAGTCTTGCCGAAACTCGTACACAAATTCTGGGAGTACGGAGCTGGAAGGACGGTAAGAAAATTTACATTAAAAAAAAATTATTAATAAAATTAAAATAAAATTAAATTAAAACATTAATAAAATTAAATTTATTATTGATGCAGGATGATCCAAATAAATGTTTTTTTTTCGGAAAGCAAAAATAATATAAGAAAGTAGAGTTAGGGTCAAGACTCATCCTGTATATTGATTTTTCGTAATCACATACATGATTGTTAAAAAAATGATAATAATTTTTTTGGATATTTAAAAATTTTGTGCGATAAGTGTTTAAGTGAGAAATTATGTAATAATATTATTTTTAAATTAAAACGAAGAAAAATGAAATTTTTAGCCTTAGAACAGTTTTCTAGTCCATTCTGCGGTGAAAAAATATTGCAATGAAAAGTAACCATATTCGCAAGGTCGCAGTAGGCCAAGTCTATTACTTGTATGAACTTGAGTTCAATATATTAAAGGTTCAGCTCATAAAATTTCACTGTTACGACTTTTATTTATTTTAAGGGCAAATACACTGTATACAAGGTGCACAAAAAGAATTGTTTTGAATCATTTGAAAATAATCATTAATAAAAATTAAGTGCGATTGTGTTTTGAGAATGAAATTTTGTTTTGTTTTTAAGTTTTGCGATTTTTATCTTAAAATGGCAACTTAAAAAAAAAAATTTTCGATATGTAGTTGTAATTTTCAGATCATTTAAAAAAATAAAAATTTTGCAAAACTCAAAATGAAAAAAAACTTTTGCAAAATTTTATTTTCGAGAAACGTCACATTTTGAAAGTAAAAAATTTAAAAACATAGATTAAGTAAAACCATTTTTTCTGTTCACTTGGTATGTTTTTCTACAAGTTTTTAGGCAAAAAAATAAATTATTAAAATGTAAAAGGCCATAAAAAGTGTGATCGTTTTAAGAATGAAATTTTTATTTAATTTTTTTGTTTTGCAATTTTTTTTTCGCAAAAATTGAAACACACTGTATTATAAACGTAATATTCAGATGTTTTATTACACAGCACACTGCTTATTATTGATTATTTTCTAATTTTTATGAAATGCGATTACATTATCGACATAAAATGATTCAGAGCATGATTAATGGAAAACAAAAATTTTAAAAATAATTACATATGAATCAAATGTGAGTTTTAGAATTGCTAAAAGACTAACGAAGACATTGCTTGGTATTTTTATGCAAAAATTATCATTTTTTGGAAGTACTAATAATATAATATATAGGGTGTCCTGATATCATTTTTGGGAACATTGCCCATAGTTTCAAATATGAACAGAAACGTCGTCACAGAAAAAAAAACTTTTTTTATGTAAAAAAAAAATTAAAATAAGTACCTACATCTTTATCTAACCTTATTTTAATTTCTAAAAAATGTTTTTTTTTGTATACTTAAAGTTTTAAATTAAGACTACCCTGTACTATGGTCGTTATGGCTTGTGAAAGTGTCGATGTTCACTTTCCAGCGATCATAAATTTGTTTCCGGTGTCGGCATCGCGGCATGCCTTGATCTTGACCGAAGGTAACGCGATTACGCTCGTCAATTGTTTCCTCATTGTTGCGTCACGTAAATTGATCGTAATTGTTAAAACGCGAAAATTCATCTTAATGTCCGGATGTGAGTTGTTTAATGGCTTGCTGCACACCACATTTCTTTTGTTCAAGTTTATATAATAATGTTTAGATAAGTCGTTGGCAACTTTCTTCGTGATTATTAGGTAAAACGCGGATTTCACTCACTTTGATGGTAATTTCAAAATTTGCGTTCGATTTCTAACTGCGGTTGGTACCCTTGAATCGAATGCAAATCGGACAAGCCGTAAAAAGCTGTCCTTGATCTTACTCGAATTGGAGATTTGCAGATTAGATCAATTGATGATTAAAAATTCAAAGTGCCGATAAAAAAAATGTATTGTTCTATAGCTCTTGTATTTTTATCTTTAGACTACTTAAAATTTTAGAGTCCCTCTTATACCAGGTGGACAAAAGTATAGGAACCAAACGTTTTTTGCTTAAACTATTAATTTTTTGAATTTATGAATAATAAAGTACTATAAAAATGTGAAGTTATATCAAGAATATTTTTTTTTTGAGTTCTGCAAAATTTTTATTTAATTTAGATGGCAACCCATTATAAAACTTTTTTTAAACAAAGGCTGTGATCTAGGGATTTCAATTGTCTACATGTTATTCAATTTTTATGTAAATTGGTTTCATACTTTTATTCATCCTGTATATTTGAGTCTGGGGGAAAAAGAAAAGTTTCAAAAGTAGTAACTGAAGTGATAATTTGTTCCGAAAACCATCACTCTTGAAGAAAATTTATCTAATTTTTTTAAGTACCTTCACGGCAATTCAAAATTGAAAACTAGTTAACACTTTTTAAATTGCATTTAATTTTATAACAGTTATCCAAAATTTAAGGTCGGATGTCCTTGTGAACCTCTCCAGGTCAATATCTTTTTATTGCTAACAATAAACAAAAATTACAATTAATATTATACAGGGTGTCCGAAAAAAACGTTGAAAGATTTTGCGGGGTGGTTTCATAGATCAAAATAAGAAAAAAGTTCCAAAGGGCCTATGTCCTATGCTTCCTGATGGAAGCCTTCTAAAGATGGTGGATATACAGGGTGTCCCAGCGAGTTGAAAAAGTCTATTAGCGACCTTTAAATGGTAAAATTAAAAAAAAAAATGTATAGGACATTGATAGATACTAATCTAATGCATCAGCTAAAATTATTTTGAATCATACAACATGTCCCAAAAATAAGTTACGATACAAACTTGTGTTTTTTTAAATGAAATACCGTATGTTTCTTGGCATTTTTAGACCTAGCCTTTGAAAACAATATTTTTACGCTAAAATTTTATTAGTCGATTTCTTTTAGTTTTAGAAATAAGACGTTTTTTTGATGAAAACATGCATTTTTAAAAAAATTATTACACAAAAACTAAGACAGCTAGAACAAATTTTTTCTTACTTCTGCAAAGAAGAAAGTACAGAATTTAAAGCTGTAGCAATTTTTTAGTGTTTTGCATTTGTAAAGAGTAATAAATTAAGAAGTTTGTTAAAAGTTAAATAACTTAAAAAAATTAAATGAAACACTTTATTTATTATTTTTTGCATGTAATAGATTGATAAATTGTCTATCTGAAAAATAAGCTTTTAATGTCTAGAATTGATAAATGAAAAGATATTTAACATTCAATATTAATTGTAGCAACAATGCCTATCAATATCTTAGCATTGTTGATACTATAGCAACTATAATAATTCTACCACGGATCATTTATTGATTTAGCCAGAGATTTTAAAAGTCGTTATAAATACTGAAATTTGAATTATTTTATTGTAAAAATAAAGAATAATGAATTTAGTTTAACACAAATTTGATTATTAAGTGATATTTCTTCCATCTCTTAGGCAACTGTGCACTTTTTGGCTATTGAAACAATAGTAATTATTTTTTTTTAATGTTTAACGGTAAATATCTTTTTAGTTATTGATTATAAACACCTAAAAGTAAATAATTTTAGAAAGACAATTTAATAATCTTTTAAATGCAAAAAATATGGTGTTCTATTTAATTTTTTTAAGTTATTGAACTTTTAACAAACGCCTTCATTTTTTTATCTATGCAAATGCAACACACTACAACCTTATAGTTTATACCTTCTTCTTTGAGGTCGTAAAATTTTTTTCTAGATGTGTTAGTTTTTGTGTAATGAATTTTAAAAAAATGCATGTTTTCGTCAAAAAAAATCGTCTTATTTTTAAACCTAAGCAAAATCGACCTATAAAAGTTTAGCTTAAAAACATTGTCATAAAAATCTACATCCATAAACGCTAAGAAACATATGGTGTTCAATAAAAAAAAACACAAGTTTGTGTTGTAACTTATTTGTGAGACATGCTGTATAGCTGAAAATAATTTTAGGCGATGGACTAGATTAGTATCTATCAATCTCCTATATAATTTTTTTTTAATTTTGGAATTTAAGGTCACTAATGGACTTTTTCAACTCGCTGGGATTCCCTGTATGTAAATTTACAAAAATTTGCATTTAGAGCAATTTTCGGACACAGATCCTTAGGAACTTTTTTTCTTATCTTGACCTAGGGAACCACCTCTCGAAATCTTTCAAGGTTTTTTTCGGACACCCTGTAGGTATATTTAAAAAAAAAAGAGGAAGAGTGAAAAAATATAACAACTTCCAAGTTATTGTTAAAAATCCAACATTGTTTTTCATTGAAGACATTTGATATTTTGCAAAAACAGTCGAACTTCGTCACTAGCGTCCTTGTGGGAGCCGGTAGAGCGTCAGATAGTCTCGTAATCAAATTCCACTATCGAAATATCAAATTTTTTCCTAACCAATGTCAGACTCATAAATTAAGAAATTAAATTTGTGACAATTGTTTTTTTTCAGGCCCTCGCAGCCTTTTGTGCTCATTCTGTGTCGATTTCCATCGGGATCTGTCAAGGCTACAGCGCGATTTTAATCCCTCAACTCACCTCTTCCTACAGCATACACGTGGATTCGGAAGAGAGCTCCTGGCTCGGTTGGTATTAATTTAATTTATGGAAATTGATCAATTAATCATGTTGAAAAAGGAGCGGCCTTAACATTGTCCTTAAACGCGATCATCGACCTTCTGAGTGATCGAAAATTTCGCGAAAAAAATTTGGGATTTTTGAAATTGAAGCGATTTTGGTCAAGGTGGTTTTTGAGAGGTTGAACCGTCATTATTCGACTTTTGTGGTTTTGTTATAACAAAATTTTGATTTGATTGGTCAATGGAAAGTTAGGGAGATGAATGGAATGTGGTTTCCCGTTCGTGAAACATAAACAAATTGTGTCGCAGAGCGGTTGGAAAATTTTGCGGCGCCTACCATTGCAAAAAATATAATTAATAGAATAGAAAATTTATTATACAGGGAGTTTTCTCAATATTGCCAAAAATTGCAATCCTATATTTTCATAACAGTAATTAAAATAATAGAAATTAAATTATCCAGTGGCGTGTTTGTACGCACGCCACTGGTAAAAGTCAAAATAAAAAATTGCCACAAAATAAGCACCTACAATAATTCATAAAGCTTGTAAAATCTTATGGAAATAACTCAACAAATTTTAATTTTTATCATGAAATTTGATCACCCTGCATGTTATTTTTTGATGAAGAATATGTGGTCGCGATTTTTTGCAATATTAGGAAAACACCCTGTATAATAATCATGGGACAAGAAACTTAAAAAAAAATTCCTCAAAACTAACTATAAATGCAAGATTAATACACTCATTTGAGACTTGCACATTTCTTTGTAAGGTTGGTAACAGTGTCAATGACCCCTATACATCTAAACTTCAATTATTTTTAATTAATTTCTCAAAAGGAGAAAACAAAGTGTTATAAAAATTGTAACCAAATTTTAAAAATTTCTATAAAAATTAATAGAAACAATTAACTATGAATATGAAAAATGAGAACAAAATACAATAAAAGTATTTATAACAAAAATAAAATAAAAAGTAAACAAAAAATCTTTTCAACAAAAAAATACTTGTCAGTTGTTTAAATATTAAATTTAAGAACAAATGCTTAAAATATCGTCAACACTGATGATTAATTACGTCATTTCACTTACAATTAAGCTTTACAATAATGAAAAGAAACAAAACGAAGATGCTGTCTTACCTATTATTTTGTTTCGATATTCATATTTTCACATTTTTTGTTTATTCAAACTTTTTAGGTTTCTGTCTTTATAATTTGTTTTCTTTGGTATTCTGCTCATTTTTTTAAAATAATTTGCAAGTTTCAAAACGAATAGTTCTAACTACAATTTCAATAAAGCGTAACATGTAGTATAGTGACATTTTTTTATACTTGTGTTGTCTGTTCTTTGGTTTATAATTTTTATAAGCTTTTTCTCTAGCCCTGATAAATAGTTTCTTGCTTTCTTTTTCTTTTCCTAGTTTCTCCTATTTTTTAGTTTTTAATCAATATAAAAAGTTTTTCATTTTTGTTCTTTACTCTCTCTTATTTTTTCTTCTTTACTTACAATCTAGTTATTTAAATTTTTTGTTTTGTGGTTACTGATTGAGTATAAAAATTATTCGAATTTCAGTTTCAACAAAGCGTATCTGATATATTTCGTCTTCTTATTAAAAAGTATTGCAAAATTTGGCAAAAGTGTCCGCTACGCTTAAATAATGATTGCTTTTATTGTTCTGTCATCGCTAATCACACCAGAAGAATACAAAATTTGAACTACAATTTCAATAAAATTACATTATCTAGCCTGGAGAATATTGAACGAAATTTCCGTCTTTTTTGCCTTACTTTTACTATTTCCTTTTCAAATTATCATTACATTGGATTTTTCTTTTGCTTTGTTTATTATTTTAAATATTTTAAACTTTTTCTGTGCATTTTTATGATTTGAGTGTTGAAATGGACGTTCTGTGAGGTTGTAGTTGCGTCATGTGTTAGTGATACGCAACGGTTGAACTTCCAGAACAAATAAAGTATGTTTTTTGGTGAAAAACCTAAAAGTTTAATTTCAATTGTAGTTAAAGTTTTTTCACGTTTTTTCCACTTGATTTAAAAAACTGTGTCAAAGACGTGAAAAGAAAGGCAGATTCTGTCCGGGCAAAATCCCACCAAAGGTCGCATTTCCGTCGACCCTCCAAATTCCTCAACTTATCACTCTCCAATCAAGGTTGTCCAAATCGCAACACAATGACCGGCCTATTGACACCTTGACGAAACCTCCAGATTCGGAAGTCGCCATCTAGATGGCCTCGATTGATTTCCGTCCGATCGGAAGTAACAATAAATCAATTTTTTTATTAAAAGCAATGCCAATGTTGCTATTGTTTTTGGAAACCTTGACTTGACTAGATTTTCTCACGTATTTTTTTATTTCAGCAAGTCTGGGTGCCGTGACAAATCCAATAGGGTCGATTCTGTCCGGATTGCTGGCGGAGTACTTCGGCAGGAAAAGGTCCATCCAGATCAGTAGCGTCCCGTTTCTTGCAGGATGGCTGTGCATTGCGTTAGCCGACAACATCACGTGGCTGTATGTAGGACGACTCGTCACGGGGATAGCTGCAGGTAAACAAAATCCCGAGTTGCAACATAACTTTCTCTACAACACCTGAAATTTTTGGCCAATATCTCACTTTTTAAGATTTTAACGAACCGCCACTGGTTTCAATGTTCGTTGCCATGACAAATCGCTTTGTTGCCATAGTTACATACAAACTGTAGAACGTTTCTATAGCAACTAGACAAAACTACTCACATATGCGACTCGTTAAGGATAGAAAAAGGGTTTAACAAAATACAAAGAAAATTAAATTTCATATTGATTTCACGATTTATTTATTTTTTTCAGGAATGTCATCAGCTTGCTACACCTACGTGAGCGAGATCTCCACCCCCGAGAACCGGGGGATTCTCCAGTCCCTGGGTCCCATTTGTGCCTCCTTCGGCATCCTCCTCACGTACACTCTCGGCTACTTCCTCTCGTGGTCAACTGTTGCCTTCGTCAGCGTCTCCTTTTCTTTATTCACTTTAATCGCGGTTGAATTTCTTCCCGAAAGTCCCTCGTATTTAATTAAGGCTGGACTACACTCCAAGGCTTTTGACAGTTATTTCTGGTTTCGACGAAACGTAGCCGTGGCGCAAACTGAAATTTCCAAACACTCGCCGATTGAGAAAATCGAAAGTAGCGCCAAAGAAATCTACTTCAGTGCTGCCACTATTAAACCATTCCTCATCCTTGTCACTCTCTTCTTCCTCCAACAATTATCGGGGATTTACACGATTCTTTTCTATGCTGTGAACTTTTTCGAAGAGACTGAGCTCGAATTGGACAATTACGTGTCTTCGATTATTCTCGGTGTGATTCGGTTTGCCATGTCGATGGTGACTGCGATTTTGGTGAATAAATTCGGCCGACGCCTACTTTGCATGGCTTCCAGTGGGGGAATGAGTGTCACCATGTTGGCAATGGTCGTGTATTTCAAATACTACGAGATTTATACGGGGGAAAGTCGGATTTTTCCGGTACTTCCCCTCATTTGTGTCATCCTCAATGTGATGTTCTCCATGGTGGGGATGCTTCCAATTCCGTGGATTTTAGTCGGGGAGTTGTTCCCCTTGGAAGTTAGGTCTATAATGAGCGGAATTGTCATCTGCATAGCTCAATGTTTTGTCTTCCTTTTCGTCAAAATCTACCCTGATATGATCCATCATTTGAATTTTAGTGGCACTTTGGTGACTTTTCTATTGGCAGCAGTGGTCGCGTTGTTTTTCTGTAAATATGTTTTGCCCGAAACGAAGAATAAATCCTTGCAGGAAATCGAGGATTATTTCAAGAGAAAGAAGGTTTTGGATGAAGGATTTTGCCCCGAAGTGACGAAAAATGAGGGGATTTTCACGGTGCAAATACAGAATTTATGACGTGGTAATACTTTCAACTAGTTGGAAATATTTTAGTTCTTATAGAACCGACGGTGATTGATTGTACAAACAAGTATTTTTGTATATAATTAAGGAATAAATGATTTATTTATTTTCCGATCAGTGTCTTATTTTTAACAATTTCAAGCTTTTATTATGACAGATTTTATTTGTTATTAAAGATATTTCCATCGCAGTGTTTGTATACTATTTATTTACAATCAAATTTTTGAAATCAAATATTTGTATTAAATTATCTGCTTCTAATAAAGTTATATAATAGTATGTTTTGGTTTGTACATGTATAGTTGGTTGCCTACTGCACAAAATATAATTTTTTTAAATTAAGTAAGTAAAAAAAGGTGCATTACCCTCTTACATGTTTTACATTGTCTTTTTTATTTATTAGCGAAAACATGCTATAAAAAGTGTATTTTTCTGTCATACAACACAGCGTAGCTTTAGTCACTTCTTCACTTACTTTACCTTACTCACTTTTCATTCACATTGTGTGAAAATGTTTTTTTCAAAACAAAAAGGTTTTTAACGAAGCATAGACTAAAACAAAATTTAATTTTCTACTTACATGTCTTACATTGTCTTTTTTCCTATTTATTAGCCAAAAATTCCATATAAAGTGTATTTCCTGTGACACAAACTAGCGTAGCCTTAGCCACTTCTTCACTCAAAGAGACTTGTTTTCATATTTAACCAAAACTAGATTGAATTATCTTGCTACATGTTTTATAGATTGTCTCCTCTTCTAATTTATTAGCAAAAAAAATCCATAAAAAATGTATTTCCCCCCTTGTTGGCTACACAACAAAGCGTAGCCTTGACCACTTCTTCACTCACTTTACCTTTTTCACTTTTTATTCATTCATTGTGAAAATGTTTAAAACACGAAAAAATATATTGTAGTGCGCGAAAAAAGCGTAATTTTACAAAAAGTAAGTACAAATTAACGTTACTTATCATTATATTTGTTGCAACTGTGAAATTATTCAACATTAAGCTGGTTACTTGATTGTTTTGATTTAGAGGTTATGTTTTTGATTCACAACTCAAATTGAGCATTTTACCCCCATTTTTGCTTGAATGTTTATTGCTGTTTTTGAAGGTTTCACGATGTGAGAAGTAGAGTCGCCCCAAAATGCAGTCAAGTTCGTCGAGTATGGCGGGCGTCGACCCCCACACGACCCAAATGAACCAGTTCAGGAGCTACGTCACGATGCTGGGCGACGCCAACTGCAAAGACGTCCTGAAATTGAAAGCCACGCAAGAAATCAGCAAAAATTTCGAGGTACAGAAGCCCAAAACCCGTCCAAAATTTTCAAAACCCACTTTCAGATCATTCTCTCGTCGTCTCTCTATCAAAGTTTTTTGGACCACTCGGTGAAAATCTTCCTGAAGATACTCGAAGAGGGCGATCCCCATTTCATCGCCGAGTATAACATCCAACAAGTTCGCAAACTAATCCTCGAAATGTTGTACAGATTGCCAACCAACGATCTTCTGAGACCTTATGTTAAATCTATTTTGTCTCTCATGTTGCGATTACTTGAGATTGACAACGAAGAGAATGTTTTAATCTGTTTGAAAATCATCATAGAGTTGCATAAACAATACCGGCCAGCGTTTAATTTGGAAGTAAGAGGGGAAAAAATGTAACGACTTTGTCACAATTGTGTTTTTAGATACAACATTTCCTCCAGTTTGTTAAATCGATTTATTCGGATTTGCCCAATCACATGGACAAGATTTTCGAACCTAGGGCTCCAATCAAAGTCAATAATTTAAACGAACTCAACATCGAGGAATTACTCAAGGAGACGTTTACTATGACGACTATACAAACAGAGAAGAAGAATAAAGACGACACTTTAGTCACGGTGGGTGAATTTTAATAATTTCAATAATTAAATAAAACTCTTTTTAGTATTATTTGATCCCCAAAGCCGTCCTTTCGCTCAAAGTCCTCCAGGAGCTCCCCATAATCGTGGTCCTCATGTACCAACTGTATAAACAAAGCGTCCATCAAGACGTCAGCGACTTCATCCCCTTAATAATGAAGACAATCACCTTGCAACCCAGTCTTGAGCAACGCCAAGCCCCCACGTTCAACAAAGAAATCTTCGTGGACTTTATGGGGGCCCAAGTGAAAACCTTATCATTCCTCGCTTACATCATCAAGTTTTACCTCGACCACGTCCAAAACCACTCCACTATGATGGTGCAAGGCATGTTAGGGCTCCTGATGTTGTGCCCCATGGAAGTGGCTCATCTCCGTCGCGAGTTACTCATCGCTGCTCGACATATCCTCGCCACTGACTTACGAAACCGTTTTGTGCCCCACATGGAGAAATTATTCGATGAGGATGTCCTTCTGGGACGTGGTTGGACGACACATGAGTCGCTCCGCCCACTTGCTTACTCGACATTGGCTGATTTAGTGCATCACGTGAGACAACAATTGCCACTCAGTGATTTAACTCGTGCTGTTCATTTGTTTAGTAAGAATGTGCATGATGATACGTTGGCAACGACTATACAAACAATGTCGTGTAAACTACTCTTGAATCTCGTCGACTGTATTCGGTTACGTTCGGATTCCGAGAACAGCACCGAAGGGCGGGAGTTACTCATGCGCATGCTTGAAGTTTTTGTTGTCAAGTTTAAAACAATCGCCAAGATACAACTCCCGATTTTGACTGCAAAATCCAAACAACAAAATAATAAGAGTCAAGTTGAGGTTAAGAGTGAAGAGGGGGTTCAAAACCCGGCTGAAGTACTCGAAAACGCTCTAGCGACGACTCAGAGTCGCAACGAGCAGAAAGAAGAGAAATCAAAGTTTGGTTTCCCACAAAATAATAATTACAACGTTGCTGATTATCATAGTCTTGTTAAAACTCTTGTTTGTGGTGTCAAGACGATTACGTGGGGTTGTTCGGCTTGTAAGTCGAGTTCTAGTCATAGTTCAGTCGCGACGAAGCATTTTCAACCCCATGAAACACTTGTTTTTGTCAGATTAGTCAAGTGGGCTTTAAAAGCTTTAGATATTTACACGTTGTATCCCGGGCCTCAAGTGACAGGTCCCCAAAGGATCAACCAACAAAATGAGAGGAATAAAGAAGAGAAGGTTGTTTTGGAGCATTTCAGTGGAGTGGTATGTGGTTTCAGGGGTGCGTTTTTCGGGTTTAATTTTTTTGGGTTTTAGTTTTCGATGATGAATCCACAAACGTTTCACGAGATTTTTTCCACCACTATTGAGTATTTGGTCGAAAGGGTTTACAAGAATCCCACGTTACAAACGGTAAGCAACAAGCATTTTTTAGTGATATTTTAAATTTTATTTAAAATTTAAAAATTAATTTTTTTTTTTTTTGTTGAAAAAACATTTTATTCAGGGTGAGTCTGCCAAGAGTATATTTTAGGTTTATATCAAAAACTTTTTTTTCATGTGAATTTTTTCAGATTTTTTAACTGTTTAACTGTTAATTTATGCTAATTTGACGAAGAAAAATAATAATTTGTATAATATGTATCTAATGTCTTTCTAAAATATACAGAGTGGTTATAAATGATTTTCATCTAGACAGCTTTGGAATTTTTTTGCATGTAACTTTATTTGTGCCGCTCTACTTTTTTGAAAGCTCTAGTTCTGTCATTAGTGTCACTTATTAATTATTAATAAATTGTTGTTAATTAAACTTTTATTGTTTCAACTAATTTCCAATAATAATTGATAATAATGTATACTTTGGAAGCAAACAAGTTTATAATTGAGGTCTATTATTTTTTAATTTTGAGTTAAAACAAGTAGGTACCCCTATTTTCGTAAAGCGATATTTTTTATTTTACATGGAAAATTCACAGCTGGCTAGATGAAAATCATTTATAACAACTTTGTACTATGCTAAAATGTTGTTTGTGTAAAAAAATGTTAAACATTTTTTGATAGTCGCAAAAAATAATTTTTATTTATTTTCTCACTTTTCCATTATTTGGGTTGGATACCACCCTTGAACCTCTCTGTCGCACTCACTCTTTTAGCGAAAAATGGCGTATTTTTATGAATTTAACAAATTCATTCAAAAATTCATATAAGTAATGAATGTTGAAAGAGACCGTTTGTAAATATGTATTACTTTAGTGCTCAAGTTGAAAAAAATCTTAATTTGTTTTTATTTATTTGTGGATTTAGTAAAAATTCTCATTACTTTCCAAAAAAATCAGTTACCTGAAAAAATATTAAGAATTGTTTAAAGAAACTTTTATGCTCGCATTGATTTGTGCTCGCGAGAAAAAGAACAACATTTCGAATATTTACTGTAATTGTTTTAAATTTAAAGAATTTTAAATAATTGAAAATTATTAAAATTAAAAAATTGCTTCGAGTTTTTAATACATCAATCTACGTCAACGGATCACTTTTTTGAAAAAAAAAACTTGTAACATTTTTTATTCTAATATATAGGGCTGTTTCGCAATATTGGAATCTTAAAATGACCTATCAAATGATGATAATTTAAATATTAACTTGTGTTTTGTGTCGCCTTGAAATTTGGGTATGGAAAGTTCTTTCTTTTACCATTTTGGAACAGAGAACATTTTCAGTTGTTGTAGTTGTAGGTCACTGTTTCTGTTTTTTTCGTTTTTTTTTTTGCTCTCTTAACGTTATTAAAACATAAAAACACGATTTCAAGAAAAATAACAAATGGTGTACCTTTGAAATTTTGACAAATATTTTTTTATTCTAAAACCAAGGCCCATAGAAAAATTTTATACGATACCAAAAATTGTTTAAAAATAAGGTACCTTTTAAATAAAAAAAGAATTACACCCCTCACATAACAAAAATATGGTTTAAAATGTGTTACTAGATAACTACTTTACAATAATCATAAAATAAGAGATTTAGCACCAAAACATGTGGTTTTTATAGCAAATTGCATGTACCAATTTGCATAAAAATCGGATACTCTATTAAGAAATTATTAAAGAAAAACTAAAATAGTTGTTAAACTTTGGCATCTCTTAAACTGTATAGAGACAAGTGGGGTTATTTTGACCTGGAAAATTTCAGGTTACTTTTTGTGTCCATCTTTTTGTTACATTTTGTATATTTCTAATTCATACCTGAAAAAAAAAAACGATAATTTATGATTAAGAGGTTAAGAATATTTAATTTTGGATTTTTGTCTATACTCATGCCTTAGTTTTTCGAAAATAAAGCTAAAAACTTAAAAATTCTTATTTCTATTTACGATTTTTCGATAAAAAATTTCTCTTAGTTAATTTTTTTTTAATTTTGTAGTATAATGATGACCTTCGAAAAGAAATGTTTCTAAAAATTCTCATAAATTTGTAATGAACAGTAGTGTTGGCATTAAAAATTGATGTAGTAATAGAACAGTGCAAAAATAATGATAATTATTTTTTTTTTAAATTTTTTGAAAATTTTTTTTACTTTTAGGTCCCGAACACTTTGCTGGCGAACCCGGCCACGAGTCCGATTTTCGCGACTGTTTTAGTCGAATATTTATTGGAACGTATGGAGGAGATGGGTTCGAATCTGGAACGAAGTAATTTGTATTTGAAATTATTTAAATTGGTGTTTGGAAGCGTTTCATTATTTCCTCAAGAAAACGAGAATATGTTAAGGCCGCATTTACACCAAATCGTCAACAGATCAATGGAATTGGCAATGAGTGCAAAAGAGCCCTACAATTATTTCCTTCTTTTGAGGGCTCTTTTCCGGTCGATAGGTGGCGGTAGTCACGATTTACTCTACCAGGAGTTTCTCCCTCTCTTGCCTAACCTTCTTGAAGGTTTAAACCGATTACAAAGCGGTTTACACAAACAACACATGAAAGATTTATTCGTCGAGTTGTGTTTAACCGTTCCGGTTCGGTTAAGTTCACTCTTGCCGTATCTACCAATGTTGATGGATCCATTAGTATCGGCTTTAAACGGTTCACATATTTTGATAAGTCAAGGATTGAGAACATTGGAATTGTGTGTTGATAATTTACAACATGATTTTCTCTATGAGCATATACAACCGGTCAGGGCCGATTTGATGCAAGCATTGTGGAGAACTTTGAGGAATAACGACCAGGTGGCGCAAGTGGCGTTTAAGTGAGTTAAGTGACTTGTTTTGAGGGGTGGTTTAATGTTTTTTTTAGGGTTTTAGGCAAGTTTGGAGGTGGGAATAGGAAAATGATGATTGAACCACAAAAACTCGATTATGTATCGTCAGATTATGACCCACCAGCGATTATTGCAAAATTCTATGATCAGGATAAGACGATCGAGTTTCCGGTTCAAAAGGTAGGTTGATGCGCATGCGTGTAATGTTGGTTGCTAAATTACGTATTGTGTGTTGCCTAACTTTTCTATTACAGATAATTGAGACCGCCTTCAACGCCCTTAAACAAAGCAACACCGACTCGTTCTACCGGAAACAAGCCTGGGAAGTGATAAATTACTACCTTACCGCTTCTCGTAACCTCAGCGACGATAAAAACATCCTAATCAATCTTTTCCTTCACTCGTCATTCCAGGACCCTAAAACCATTCCTCAAGTAAAAGGTTCGGTCTATAAGAGCATTTATAAGCAAGCACGTGAGACCCATCAAACCGCCCTTACTGGTATGTTCGTCGCTGCGGCGATTAAAGAACTCCGTCAACCGGTGGTGGCCCTTATGGTCGCCGTAGTTCGTCATTACACCATGGTGGCAGTGGCGCAACAATCGGGGGCTTTTGCGTGCACCCCGAAACACAACGAACAAGTTGCGCTTGATCCTCTTGTTCTAGTCGACGCTCTTGCTGTGATAATGGGGCACGAGGAGAAGGAGCTGTGTAAACCGGGTCATGTGGGGCTTGTCTTGATTCTCGATACGGCATCGACTCTACTCGGGAGTAAAGAAATGGCGTGTCGGCTACCTTTAATCGAATATTTATCAGAGAAAATGTGTGCACTTTGCTACGAGAGGGCGTGGTATGCAAAATTGGGTGGTTGTATTGCGATTAATTTTATGTTTGAGAGATGTGCCCGAAAGTGGGTGTATGAACACATGTTTACGTTTTTAAAAGCGTTGCTTTTTGTTATGATGGATTTGACGGGTGAAGTATCGAGTGGGGCACTCGATATGGCGAAGAATAATCTCGAAAAGATGTTGAATGTTTGTGTGACGGAACCGCCAAAAGGGGCCGATCAAGAAACACGTGATTTGCAAAAGAAGGCGTTGCATGAGGTCACACATGAGTTGGTGAGACAAGTGACGAGTCCACATACTATGGTGAGAGAACAATCGATGCATTCGTTGCGTTTATTGGCCGAGAAACAGAACAAATCAGTGACGTCGGTTATGGAACCATTCAAGGAGGTGTTAGCCGATATGGTACCACCGACTAAGCATTTACTCAAGCATCAACCGGCAATTGCCCAAATGGGGCTAATGGACGGGAACCAATTTTGCACCACTTTAAATCCTCGACTTTTCACAATCGATCTATCGATAAAAGAACACAACTTGTTCATACTCGACTTGCTATCACTCTGTAATAGTGAAGATGTCAAATTGAACACTTTTAGTTGTTACAAAAACATTACCAATTTTATTCCATTGAGAAAATCTGCATTACGTGTCCTTGCAGCGTGTCATTACCTTGAAGAAGTCCGAGAACAAATTTTCCAAGTGTTGTATAAAGCATTAGAAAAGCCCAACGCCGAATTACAACAAACTGCATTCGAGTGTATGAGAGATTTTCTCGCTGGATACCAAGTCAACAAGGATTTAGTCTATCAAACTATTAAACCGTTCCTTTTAACGTTGGGTGATGCGAAAAATTTGACACTTAATGGTGTTAAAATGCTGTCATATTTAACCCAATTGTTTCCATTGAATATCAACGAGAGTTTGTGTGAGCAACTTTTGGAACTTTTGAAACAACTACTGAAACAACTGCTCGAAAATTTGACAAACAGTCATAAAGGTGAGTGTGGATGTCAAACGGCCGTTATTAGAACGGCCCCTGTTTATTTGTGTTTTTTTTAGTGTCGAACGGTGTTTCGAAGAAAGGCGATGAGGAGCAAAAAATCGTCACTATTATCGGAATCTACCACCAAACACCAGCCGCCTCCTCGAAATTTATAAACCAGTTGTGTCAACTTATTCTGCAAGCCGAGCAGGCTATGTTAATCGAAGCCAGTTCTCCGTTTCGGGAAGTTTTAATGAAATTTTTGTTACGTTATCCTGGTGATACTCTCGATATGTTTCTTGATGATACATACATTAAGGATAAACAGTTTAGTCGTTATCTTGAATTTTTGATTAAACACAAAGACGGGAAGAGTTTTCGTGATTATATTCAAAATAATATGGTTAAGAGATTGATTCAAATGGCGCTTGCTAATGTTCATGTTAATTATACTCTAAGTGTGCAAGAACGTAACGAATTGCAATATCAGAGTATCAGGATTATTTCGTTGTTGATTAAGTGTGATGATCAGTGGTTGTCGGAACAACAGGAGTTGGTGGAAGCGTTGAAACAGATTTGGTGCGATGATGCGTATCAGGAGAGACATAAAAATGTCGATAATTTGGACTATCCGCATTGGAAGGAGCCGAAGCTTTTAGTCAAGATTCTTCTGCATTATTTCTGTTATCATCCGAATAATGTCGATTTGTTATTCCAACTCTTGAGGTGTTTATGCCACAGGTTCATACCGGAGTTTCAGGTAATTATTTTTTTTTAAGACCAAAATAAAATTAATAATATAGAGAAAAAAACAAAAAGAAAGTCACTTTTGTTTTTGTCTTGTTTTGTGAATTTTAGGTAAATAAGCAGAAATATTTTGATTTACTTAGTTTTTGTTTGACACGACAGAAAATGGTTATGGCTACACTTGAAAAAGAAGTTATTTTGCTTTAATAGAATGAGAACTTTTTTTTTATTGAGAAAGTATAAAGCAGAAAATCGTTCAATTCCGTCTTTTTCTTTAATTAAGTTTGAAACGCATTAATGTCAATTCAATAATTCGATAAATTTAATTTTTTTTCAGGACGAAATTTAGAAAATGTAGTAGCTTTTACAAGTGTCTTTCAGCGAGAAACTTGCAATTAAAAAAAACAACAAAGTAGAAAATGACTGAATTATGTATGTCTTTTTTTTTATGAAATTATGTCAGAAATCCATTTAATTTAGCACTCAGCACCTCAAAAATCTTAGTGATTTTGAAAAAGCTGAAAAATCACTAAATTAAGTCTGAATCTGAAATGAAGTATTTTCTGAATTCAAGAGTATTTGTTGAAGAGAAAGTCACAAATTTGGAATATTTTGCCAAAACAAGGTAGGAAATTGCAAAACTACACCTGAAATGCACCATTTTGCTTGTGCTGATGGATTTACACCGAGTTTCAGGGAGAAATTTACGAAGTTTGGTAGACTTTGTCAAGGTAAATTAAAAAAAAAATGGTCAAGTAATAGATTAATCAAATTTTCATAGAAAAACTAACCAAATTTGAAAAATTGTAACGAAACAAAATCTTAAAATTTCCTTTGGGACAGTATTATTTTCGTTTTTGTCTTTAAATTTAGTGTTTTTTTTATTAAAAAAAAGATAATAAAATAGAATATAGAACAAAAAATTAGGGTGTTTTTCACCAAGAAACTTAGTAAATTCAAAACAAATCTGAAAATAAACTATAAAATTTAGTCTGAAATGCTTTATTTTTGTTTATCTTGTTAAATTTAGAGCGTTTTTCAGACAGAAATTGACATGATTTTATAGGTTTTGTAAAAACAAACCGAAAAGTTGATAAATTCAGTTTAACATTCGTTATTTTTGTTTATGTTGATTGATTTATAGTATGTTTTATCTAGAAATTTCTTAAATTCAAGAAATTTTGTAGAAAGTTCTTTGTTTCTTGTATATTTCTTTATTTCCATGTTTAAACAATTTTTATTAGTTTTTGACGTGTCTTAAAACTGTAAAAATAATTTATCCGGTACAGAAAAACATATTGAAACATAATTTTTATGTTAACTACTTTTTTTGTCATTATTTATGTAAATTTCAAAACAAAACACAGTTTTAAATTGGCTTTAGTATCAAAATGAATATTTTTTTGCAATTTTTACAGCTGAATTTTCGATTCTTACCAAGAAAGATATTTCTCAAAAAAATATAATAAGATAAAATTACTAAAGTTTAAACATAATACAAAATAATAATACAATTGCGAAGCAGTGTATTTAACTTAAGAGTTAATAAATAATAAAAAAATATGGAAAAAGTTGTTCACAAACGTTTAAAATAAAAGAGAAATTTAAAATAGTTGCTTTGAGCAACTTACACTTGAGCGCTTTTTTGCCATATGTCACGTGACTATAATATCTCTACCTTTGTTAAGCATATTTTGATTTCTTTAACGAACAGTTACTTTTTTTAAAAACTATTACACAAAAACTAAAAATAATAAAAAATAAACTGTTTACAATTTGAGAAGTGTATTGCAAATTTCAAAAAGTTAAAGAAATGAAGAATTTCATTAAAAGTTAAATAACTTGAAAGATTTTATGGGAACACCTGATTTTTGTTTTTCTATCTAACACAACTTAAATTTTCAAATGTCTAGAATTCATAAATAAAAAAATATTTAACTTTAAGCATTAACATTTTTGAATATTTTAACATTTAAAGGATGTGAATAATTGACTTCGTCAACTCTATGAGACTCCTGTATAGTATTTTTACCCAAATTTTTGATTTCTGTCTAATTTTGTCTAATTTGAAGATTAAGTAAATTATAACAACGATTATTAAATTTACAGAATTGAATATTATTATTTATTAATAAATTAATATTTATGGCTTTTATTTGCAAACCTTTTTTTCTTTTTTTTTCCAGTTCTTGAAAGACTTCCTCGCCAACACAGTGGCCCAAAACTACACCGTGGAATGGAAACGCTCGGCTTTTTTCCGTTTCGTGAAACTCTTCCCCACCAACACCATGTCACAAGAACTCAAATCGAAAGTCCTCCAATTCATTCTAATCCCTTGCTTTGCTGTCAGTTTCGAAAAGGGCGAAACCAACAAACTCGTCGGAGGGCCCCCAATGCCCTATCAAGACAGCCCCGACAACGTTGTCTCAGTCTTTATCAACAAACTCATCGATCCTGATAACCCCTTTCCCACAGCCGACTGTGTCCGAATCGCTTTATTACAATTCTCGTGTCTTTTAGTCGAACAAGCGAGTCCACACATCCACGACCATAATAAAACACAAAGCTCGAAATTGCGACGTTTGATGACATTCGCATGGCCGTGTTTATTAGTCGAAAATTGTTTCGATCCAGCGACGAGATATCACGGTCATCTTTTGTTATCACACATCATTGATAAGTTTGCAATTCATCGGAAAATAATCCTGCAAGTGTTTCATAGTTTATTGAAAGCGCATGCGCTCGAAGCTAGGAATGTTGTGAGACAAGCTTTGGAGATTTTAACACCGTCGATGCCTCTACGTATGGAAGAGGGTAACACGATGTTGACTCATTGGACGAAGAAAATCATTGTTGATGAAGGACATTCAATGCAACAATTATTTCATATTTTGCAACTAGTAGTCAAACATTACAAAGTTTATTATCCTGTGAGGCACCATTTGGTTCAACATATGGTGAATTCGATTCAAAGACTCGGGTTTAGTCCCACTGCCACTTTGGAACACCGAAAATTGGCGGTTGAGTTAGCCGAGGTTATAATAAAATGGGAATTGTATGGAATTAAGGAGGAAAATGATGGTGAAACAGTCGAGAATGTCCCAACGAAACGTTCAAATTTCGATGATTCGCTCGAAAATCAACGAAAAAGATTAGCAGTGCAACCCTCAACGTCGTATTCACCCACACCGGTGATAAAACAGGAACCTGGAATTAACAAACCTATAGATCGGGTTCACATTGACACAGTTTTAAATTTTTTGCTACGTCTTGCGTGTCAAGTCAATGATAGCACACCGCAAAACCCTGGTAATCCGACTGCTAGCACCCCCGGCGAGTTACTCTCCCGTCGTTGTGTCATCCTCCTCAAAACTGCCCTCAAACCCGATTTGTGGCCCCAACCAATCGACCTCAAACTCGCTTTCTTCGATAAAATCCTCACGATTGAGGGACCCAACCCCAATATTGGTAATGTCTGCACTGCACTTGAACTGTTAACTTATCTTCTCACTGTATTGAAGAAGGAGCAAATTTTGGCGAGTTTTAAGCCGCTTCAGCGTGGTTTAAGTGCGTGTCTTACGTCGACTAATAATAAAATAATTAAACTTGTGCATGGACTTTTGACCAAATTGATGACGTTGTTTCCGACTGAAAGGTCGAGTAATACAGTGTGTAAATATGAGGAGTTGGATATTTTGTATACGGCTGTTGGGAAGGAAATTTTTGAAGGTTTGAATAAATATGAAGCGAATGCACAAGCGAATTCATCGAGTTTGTTTGGGACTATGATGATTTTGAAAGCGGCCTGTGCGAATAATCATTCGTATATTGATTTGTTGATTACGCCGTTTATGAGAGTCTTGCATCGGTTGGCCAAGGAGCATTTGCAACCCACGTCGACGGAATATGCCGCAAGTGAGTATGGGAAAAATTATTAATTAAAATTAAATGCAAAAACTATTTTTTGTAAATCATATAATCTACATTTAAAATTGTTCGAAAACAAGGTTGAAGTTAAATAATCTTTCAAGTTTGCTTCAATAAAATTGAGAAATAGGATGTTTGAAGTTTGTGTAAAAAAATATTTGATTATTTACCTTAATTGAAAAGAATTTGTTTGAAAATAAAATCAGATTTTATAATTTTTTACTATGTTAGATTTAGGCCAGAACCAGATTGATACGCCACTGGTAAAGTTGTCAAAATTAGCTCCAAAAACCGTAAAATTCCACCACGGTGCGCGACTTTTTTCATTTTCATTGCTCCAATTCCATGCAATTCCACCACTTTTGTGAAATTATAAAATAGTGGGGATTTCGAATGTTCTTAAAAAGCTTAATTCGAAAAATTATTAAAGATATTTACGTGTGTTTATGATTTGACTACGCTATTGTAATAACTAATAAGAAAAGAATAATAGTATATTATGTCACAAGGTAGAGAAAAGATTTTTATAGCTGAGCTGTTTATAAATAATAAATGCGAAACTATAAAAACCTTCTCTACCGTGTTTTATATAAGATTTTTTCCACTACTACCACATTTATTACTCAGAAATACAACGGTGGAAAATATAACCTTACTTAATGGATATGTTGACTCAGACGTAACATGTCGTAATCAATTACTTACCTGCGTTATTAATTTAAGTTGAGAGTATTTTTTATTCTTATCCTAATTGAGGTTATTTTATTTTTGTACTTCTGCATCCATTAAGAGAATTTTCTAACTCTAAAATGAAATATTTGTTAAAATAACAAAGGAATATTAAAGGAAAAGAAAAAAAGTGTTAAAACTTGCCCTACTACCGGTAGTATTTCAACATAAAATAAACCCATTTGTTGTATTGACAGTTTTGACAAAAGACAAAAACAGAAGAATTAGAGGTGGGATTATTCTGATGTTTTTTAATGAGTAAGTTTAAATCTTTTTTATTTAATTTTGCCTTCCATTAGTACTTGTGATGAACCTCCAATATCGGTTTTTACCTATCTCTAATCCATTATTGACTATTAGGAGAGGAAAACAACTTCACAACCTCTCAACAAACTAAATAATGGTACCTTTTACAACTACAAGTGAAAAAAAAATAGTTAATCACATAATAAAATGCAAAAACAAAAACCTTTTGAATGTATTTAACCTACATTGAATTTTAGAACTAGAATAAAATGCTAAATAAATTTGAAATAAAACATTCTCAAATCTGAAGATAAAAATTTCGAAAATATAGGTGAAGTTATAAAAGATGGAGCATTTTGTAATTTAAGAAATTTACAATTAAATCACTATAAAATTACACGATTGAATCCTTTGGCATACAATAATCTTTCAAGTTTGTTTCAATAAGAGAAATTTGAAATGGAGTTGAAGTTTGTACAAAAAAACTATTTTATTATTTACCTTAATTACAATAATATTAAAAACAGTTTGAAAATAAAATCAAATTTTATAATGTTAGATTTAGGTCAGATTCAGATCGTTACGCCACTGGTAAAAAAAAAATTAGTTTCTAAAAACCGTGAAATTCCACCACGGTGCACGACTTTTTTATTTTTATTGCTTCAATTTCTTGCAATTCCACCACTGATTATTTTATCAATTTTTGGAAACTTGTGGTATTATAATGCATATTATTTTGCTTATATCGACAAAAGAGTTCAGTGAGAAAATTAAGAGTATTTTTAGCGAGAAAATAACAAAATTTGGAATATTTTGTTTAAACAAGGTAGGAAATTGCAAAATTACATTTGAAATGTTTTATTTTGTTTGTTCTGATAGATTTGCAGCAAGTTTTAGGGAGAAATTTACAAAGTTTGATAGATTTTCTCAAAGTAAAGCTAAGAAATTGGTAAATTATTAGATTAATTAAGATCTCATAAGACAAAAGTGACCCAATTAAAAAAATTATGTCAAAACAGTAGATAATTGTAAAATTCCGTCTTTGTCTTTGAATTTAAAGCGTTTTTTTTATAAGAAGTTTACATTTTTCAGTCAGAAATTTACTTAATTTGATAGATTTTGTAAAAACAAATAATTTGGGTACTGCATACGTCAAATGTCAAAAATTTTAACTGTCAAATATAATAATAAATTTAGTTTAAAAAGTGCTGAATAGAATAAATACTATAAAAAACGCGTGTTACAACCTCTTACTTGTATTGTGGTACTCGTGTATTTTTTTAATTATTATTTAATTTAAAATGATTAGTAATTAATTTATTTTATTAATGTGTTTTTAATTTATTTAATGTGTTTGGAGTAATCGAACGCATGACTCTGTGAAGATGAAATATTTTAGGAAAAAATGGTGGATGCGCCGGGAAAGTTATCAATTTGTAACTTTATAGATATCTTTTTCATTGCAAGAATTATAATATTGTATGCAATTCACTTACGTTATTATGGAATAAGATTTTTGTAATTATGTTTTTATCTGAGATTTTTGCACACTTCTGCCTGTTTTGAACGTGCATTAGCAGCTAATAATTAAAAAAAATGACCCGACGCATGCATAATTTTTAATCAAAAATTTAAGTGGTGAAATAAATGTAGAAAAAAAATTAAACAACAATGTTAGAATCATAATTTAATAATTACTTGATAAGTTTTTATATCTATCCATTAATATCTTTAACTTTTATTGAAATTCTTTAAAATGAACTGCAATTTTTGTTAAAAGTTAATTTTTCAGTCAACAGCGAGCTTCTCATCTTGAGCCTCGACCTTGTCAAAACCCGCGTCGTGGTAATGGGCGTCGACATGCGCAAAACCTTCATTGGCACAATTCTCGTCGGTCTTATCGAAAAAACCCAAGACATAAAAGTGATGAAAGCAATCACAAAAATGTTGGAAGAATGGATGAAATGTAAGAATGTTGTAACTCTCAATCAGGCACCAAGTCTTCGAGAAAAATCAATCCTTCTGGGAAAAATGATGCAATATGTTGAAAAACGTTTCCCGGAAGATGCCGATCTCAATGCGCAATTTTTGGAACTTGTTAGCTACGTTTACACGTAATAAATTTCATATAGTGTGATTTTTACTTCAAATTTTTGTTTCAGTGACGTTAATTTAAAAACAACTGAATTGACTTCGAAACTAGAACCGGCGTTTTTGGCCGGTTTACGATGCAATCAGCCTCACATTCGTGCAAAATTTTTCAAAATTTTTGACGAGTCAATGAGACGACGTTTACACGACCGGTTACTATACATAGTGTGTTCGCAAAATTGGGAAGCCATCGGTCAACACTATTGGATTAAACAATGCATTGAATTGTTACTCGTGACTGCAGTTCCTGATACTTGTATACAGATGGCGCACGAAAGTAGTATTTTACCCAGTATCACTTCTGTGATTAATTCACCAGAAAAACGTGAAGAATTCAGCAGTATGCAAATTGATAATCCAAATTTCTACACCACGACTGAAATCAAAGAAGAAGTGTTAGATTTAGACTTGTCAAATGTCGAGTCCAATCCACCAATTGAGGAAAAACCCATCGATCGAGCTGAAACAATTTCGAAAATGATTAAAAAACATTATGAGTTTATTGAGGTTAGTAGAAACGTCACTACTGATCAGTTTCTACTAGCCGCCTCACAATTATGTCACATGGATACGAGTCTTGCCGAACAAGTCTGGCTCCAGTTTTTCCCCCGAATTTGGGAAATCCTCGAAGAGGACCAACGCAATATTCTCGTACAAGAAATCCTCCCGTTTATCACCTCCGGTACTCACATAATCCAAAAAGATTGTCACCCGAGCGCAATTAACACTTTCGTGGAGGCGTTAAGTCGGTGCAACCCCCCGATTCAAATCGCCCCGCCCCTTATGAAATACCTCGGGAAATCACACAATCTCTGGCATCGTATGGCCTTAGGACTTGAACAAATGGCCTTTGATCCGGCTTCAACCAAAGCCACCAATACCAGTTGTTATGATTTCGAGACCGACCAATCAAAAAACGAGCTTCTTGATTCGTTGGGTGAGCTATACTCGCTTCTATGTGAGGAGGATTTATGGGCGGGGCTTTGGCTCAAACACGCCCATTATAAGGAAACTAGTATTGCGATTGCGTATGAACAACATGGGTTTTTCGAACAAGCACAAAGTGCGTATGATTCAGCAATGGCTAAACACAAACAGGATAATTCAATGGGACCGGTGCCTACACACACCCAGAGGGAGGTGTTATTATGGACTGAGAGGTGGATCCGGTGTACGAAGGAATTAAACGAGTGGAATGTTTTAATGGAGTATGCGAAAAATGGGGTTTATGATCCGTATTTGTTATTGGAGAGTGCTTGGAGGATACCCAATTGGGATATCATGAAGGAGGTGTTGAGTAATGTTGAGTATAATTGTCCCAAAGAGTTGGGATGGAAGATTACCATGTATGGTGGTTTTCTTTTAATATGTCAACCTGAGGAGAGTAAACCGTTGAAATTCGTCGAGAGGTATGTTGAGAGTGCTAGCGCCCTCTGTCTCAACGAGTGGCGCCGCCTACCGCATATTGTTAGCCACATCCATTTGCCCTACCTTCAAGCCGCCCAACAAATAATGGAGTTGCAAGAAGCCTACCAGATCCATAAAGGTCTCCTTCAAGGACACCAAAACTCACTTCACGATATGAAAGCCATTGTGAAAACATGGCGGAATCGACTTCCGGTAATCGCCGATGATTTGACACACTGGAATGATATTTTCACGTGGCGACAACACCATTATCAAGTCATCGTGAATCACTATGAGTCGATCAGGGATACCAATAATACAAATTCAATGTTGGGCATACACGCATCAGCTCAGTCGATAATTCATTTTGGGAAAGTTGCACGAAAACACAAATTGGTTAGTGTTTGTTTAGAGTCACTAAATCGGATTTATTCAATTAAAAGTGTCCCGATTGTCGATTGTTATCAAAAAATTCGACAGCAAGTTAAGTGTTATCTACAGTTGGCATCAATGAATAATAAAAATGAACTTCAAGAAGGTTTAGAAGTGATTAATAACACCAATGTGAAATATTTTGCGAAAGAACTCACCGCTGAGATTTATGCACTTAAAGGGATGATTTATCACTTAAGTAGTACGTATTGTTGATTGTAGGTGGCGTAGTGTTACAATTTTTGTTTCAGACAAGTCCGACGAGGCCAATAAGGCGTTTAGTGCAGCTGTACAAATGCATGACACTTCGATTAAAGCTTGGGCTCTCTATGGTGACTATTTGGAACAAGTTTTTACACGTGATGCACGTCAAATCAATTTGGGTGTGAACGCAATGGCGTGTTTTTTGCACGCTTGTCGACACCAAAACGAATCAAAAGCACGCAAATACTTGGCGAAAGTTTTATGGTTGTTGAGTTACGACGACGAAAATTCGAGTTTAATGGACGCTTTGGATAAATATTCAGTCGGGGTACCCCCCATTTTGTGGTTACCGTGGACACCACAGTTACTCAATTGTCTAGTGCAGTATGAAGGTCACGTGATTTTGAATTTGTTGTGTCAGGTAAATAATCTAGTGGTGGGTTTATTGTTAGTGATTTGGTTTATTCTAGGTTGGTAGAATGTTTCCCCAAGCTGTGTATTTCCCAATCCGTACACTATACTTGACGTTACGTACCGCAACGGCGCGTAAAACAAACACAGTCCAGCAACAATCGCAAGAAACCGATCAGGGTAACCAACAGGAGAGTGGTAACACTGCTACAATTACCACTAGTGAAACATCATCGATTAAAGCAACGCCGGCTATGATTCGTTGTTCGAAAATAATGAAAATGCAACGTGATATTCACACAACCGCCCTTTCGAGTCTTGAAGGGATAGCCAATCAAATGGAGTGGTTTAGAGAGAATTGGTACGAGGAGGTTTTAAGACAATTGCGACAAGGTTTGACTAAATGTTATGCAATTGCGTTCGAGAATAGAGAAAGTGTGAATGAGGCTAAAATAACACCACATATATTAAATTTTGTGAAGAAATTAATGTCGACTTTTGGGATCGGTGTCGAGAATATTGGATCAGTGGTGACGTTTAATTCAGCCGCGAGTGAGAGTCTTGCTAGGAGGGCTGAAGCCACCTATCAGGATCCAGTTTTCAAGGAAATGAAACAGGATTTTACCAAGGATTTTGATTTTTCGCAAACGAATTCGATGAAGTTGCATACGTTAATCTTCAAATTGAAGAAATGGATCAAGATTTTGGATAATCGGTCCAAGATGTTGCTTCAGTGAGTATTTTACATATACAGGGCTGTCCCTTTCTGTGGACTTATGTCCGGAAATATTTCCTAAGGGCGTTAGAGCTTAAAATTGAACTTATATATACAGGGTGTTAAAAATGAAGTATTTGAGTAGGTAATAGTATAGATCAAAATAAACAAAAAAGTCTTAATAAACAATGGTCCGCAAAGTAACGATTTCAGAAATATCGAATGTGAAAATTTTCTCTTTTTTGTTTGAACAAACTGCATTAAAATGTTTTAAAAAACGAATAATTTTTGATATCTCCGAAACCATTACTTCGCGGACTTTGCATGTTTATTAAGTTTTTTTTGTTTATTTTGGTTCATACTATTACCTTCTGACAGAACTCGCAGCCCAGAGAAAAATTTCAAGTAAGCTAAGGTAGCAGGAACATGGAAAAAATGTTTAAAAGATTCTGTCAAAAAATTCTGACATTTATTTTTTGACATTTGTTTTTTTTTATCGATTTAATGATACTAATGATCGTGTATATGTTTTTTTATAATTATTCAGTAAAAGTACAAAAATTTTGCCAATAAAAGCCACAAATAACATTAAATAGAGTTACAATAATTGAGGATACAGTTTCCTTGTTTCTTCTTCTTGGAAAATTATTTTTCCAACAGAAATAAATAAGAGTCAAAGTGCAAAATTTAAACTCTCATAATTTCGAAATTTTTATAGACAGAATTTTTTTAAATATTTTTCCATGTTCCTGGTATCTTTCCTTACATGGCGTTTTTTTCTGGGGCGCGAGTTCTGGTGCACCCTCTGTATATTACAATCTTTTTAAACAGCCTGTATAAATCGATTTTTTTAAAAGCTGCTTAAAATATAAAATGAAGGGAAAATAAAGGGCTGTGGATGTCCAGGATGAACAAAAAACATTCTCCTTTTTTTGGTTAAACTATTTGCTTTCAGAAAAAAATTAACTAGAAAGATAAAATCCTAAAAAAAAATTGTTTGTATCCGTTAGGTTTTTTTTATAGAAAGTAAGTTTGTATTTTAAGCATAAAACGCTTGCTCCCATATTTATGTTTTTCTACATACAGGGTGATTTTTAAAAAACGACAGGCCATTTAGATCTTTTATTAATAGTCCGATTTCAAAAATTAAAAAAATAAATTAAATGGTTTTTAATATGTATAGTGGGAGCTGACAATTTCAGAATTTTTATAAATGTCATAATATATTTTGGGCTATATTCAACTTTCTAGTTTTATTTTTTTTTATAATTTGGA